TATGGTAGTATGTATGCCCGTATGTATGCATCTATGTATGTATGTATGTATGTATGTATGTATGTGTGTGTGTGTATATGTGTACGTGTATGTGTACGTGTACGTGTATGTGTATGTGTATGTGTGTGTATGTGTGTGTATGTGTATGTATGTGTATGTCTGTGTGTATGCATGCATGCATGCATGCATGCATGCATGCATGCAACGATGGACGTATGTATGCATGCATGTATGTATGTATGTATGTATGTATGTATGTATGTATGTAGGTAGGTAGGTAGGTAGGCATGCATGCAACGATGGACGTATGTATGTATGTATGTATGTATGTATGTATGTATGCATGTATCTATGTATTGGATGTATGTATGTATGTATGTTTGTTTGTTTGTTTGTTTGCTTGTTTGTATGTATGTATGTATGTATGTATGTATGTATGTATTTATGTATGTATGTATGTATGTATGGCTGTATGTAGTATGTATGTATGTATGTATGTATGTATGTATGTGTGTGTACATCTGTATGTATGTATGCATGCACGTATGTATGTAGGAAGGTAGGTAGGAAGGAAGGAAGGAAGGAAGGAAGGTAGGCAGGTAGGTAGGTAGGTAGGTAGGTATAATGTATGTTTGCGTAAAGATGTAGGTATACATATAAATCTACATATGAAAAAAATAAATATAAATATATATATATATATGTATATAAATGTATATATACAAAAATATATATGTGAAAAAAAAAAAAATATATATATATACATGTGTGTGTGCGCGCGCCTTTAGTTGCGTCTGTGTTCTTGCTCTGGTGGCCGCACTCGTGCGCGAGTCTGACTGTGTTCCTGTGTGTTACTTTCGTCTGTCAAATTGTCTATGCCTATGCTGCTTGTGCACGCTGTTAGTGTTTAATTAGGGGATCGACGTATCTCGCTCTCATGTATCTCGCTCTTTTCATGCGTCCACACAGTACCTCCTCGGATAGAATCAGTGATTCGATGTGGCGCAGTGGGATACTTTGTTGGACGGGATTTGGGGTTTGGGGTTTTTACGGTTTGGTCTCGCGCTGGGGGGTGCAGGAGCTTCGGGTTGCGGGATTGGCTTCAGGCTTTAGGCCTTGCGAGCTTGAACCTCCAACGGTTTAGGGTTTAGGAAGTTTAGGGTTTTAACATCTAATCCAAAAAATCTTGCACCTCAAACACTCAGACCCATCAACAAACCCCACAAACCGTTAATGCCACCATTCTTGGGCCGTGGCGGGGTTTTGTTGACTCTGTCTTGCATGCAGGGGCCCGTCTGAAGGAATCCGGAAGCGTTGACGCCAACTGGCATGGGAATATCGCTAAGTCAAGGGACCCTGACATGGAAGAAGCCCTAAACCCTGAACCCTAAGCCCAATGTAAACCCTGAACCCTAAACCCCAAACCCTGAACCTTTCACCGGGTATGAGGGGAGGACATGGACTAGCAGGAGCAGCACCATGCCTCCATATCCGCGTCGCCTCAACTCGTCCTGCTGCGCCGTAAGGCGCGGGCCCTGTCAGCCCGTTTAGAGGGATTATCAGCGCTCCAGAATCTCTGGAGTTGTTCGTCCGCAGTGTATTTCACTGTGGAACTCTGTACGAAAGCTTGTAGCGGCTTTACACTAGACTGTTGCAACACGGCACTAAGCAGCTGACAGACCTCCTTGGTATGCTCAAAGAGGGGTCGCAACTTGAGTCCAATTCGGGGCGTTTGGTAGCCCAAGGCCCTCAAGGCAAAGACTTTCGACTTACGTTCCGGCCACAAGGGCTGTGCGGAGAGTTTCTCAAGCTGGCGGACTGCTTCCACCAAGCTGTGTGTCAGTTGTCGGACCGTCGAGGGGCAACTGAAGTCGCCTTGAAGCGGCTCAGTTGCACCTCGGTTGCCTGCTGGTGGACACACACCTGTAGTAAAGACGAAGTCAGTGAGCAGCTCGACATATGCGACACCCGGAGGGGCACGGCCTTCTGGCACCAATGTTGACCACTTCAATCCCTGGAGCCAATGCCACAGCGCTGTAGTGTACCAGGGAGGCCAACTACAAGCCAGGAGCCACTCCCGTTGGTAGGGTGGGACATCCCACGCGACGTGCACACCATTGTTGAGGCTGTTCCACCTTTCTGGGCCAGTGTCTGACTCAACCAAGGGAGCAGCGAGCTCCGAGGCATTCTGCTCCACAGGCTGTTGCTTCAAGTTCCTAGCCTCTTCAGCGGAGAGTCGAAGCAGGTAGGTCCAGAAGTGACGGAGGTGGTCAGCTTGGTCACGTAGGAAGCTGGCCGCTTTGTCGGTGATGTCGATGACTCCAGGTAGATCCCGCAGGACAGCCGCTTTGGCAGCATCATCCGCAGCAGCATTGCCGGCAGCCAGCCATTGCTCCATTCCCCACAGTTTGTCTATGTTCTGATGAGACGCGACTTTATGGAGGCGTATGTGGGGCTGGTAGACCTTGCGGAGCTCATCGGCTAAGTCAGGCCAGAGACCATCTTGACCTTCTGCAACGCGGCTCCACTCTGCAATGGCGAAAGCGCTGTCAGTCCAGATTTCTGTAGGTCGCGGCCCGTCCAGCTGGGACAGTCGAGCGGCCTGAAGCACAGCGCATTCTTCGGCCCGATTTATACTTTGGACGCCTGGGACAAGTCCCTGCAGCACCACCTGAAAAACAGGGGGAGTCTGACCAGTGCGGCGCCATTCTGCAAGTACGCCCGGGATCTCTGATTCCGACTCAGTGACGTCCATGACCACAGCCCATCCTGCATGGGAAACCAGGGGAAGGCTCGGGTGGCGGCAGGACCCGTCAGTGAAGAACCTCAGAAAAGTTCGGCAGCCCGGGCCATCAATGGACCGGCTGGGCAGGGTATAGTAATGTCCTGGTAGCAAAGACCAGTCGCACAATCTCGAGGTCTGGTGGCAGAGACGCATAGGGCGCGTGTATCCAGGAAGGGCGGTGCTCCGCCACATACTCAAGTTCGGCCGAAAACTCAGCACGCACATGGTGGAACGCGGGGCAGGAGAGAAATTTGTGGGCCTTGGTCTGGCGAGCACCACAAAAGGGGCAGGTTTCGGCAATATCCACCTGCCACTTGTTTTTGGCGGCAGCAGAAGAAAACGCACCTGTGACGTGCCTGGCGATAACCATCTGTTCCGAGGGCGACAAACGGCCGAAAAGCTGTGCCGTTCCAGCGGTATATATCTCCGGCGCAGCAGCAAGGCCATTGCGATGTGCCACCTGCTGTTGAACGTAGCCAACCCAGGAGCGCTGGAGCAACTCCCTGATCTCCGAGGCCCGGCAACAGGTAACATCCGCCCAAGAATTGTCACTCCCCTTAAGTATGCCGGCGCTGGTCAGCGTCAGGCCGACGCGGTCTAGTGCCTTGCGCAAAGCACTCGCGGGTCCCTGATAGCCCTTGGGCTGCCGGTCTTGCGAGGCGAGCTCAAGAACAGAAAAGGCAAGATCCGGGTCAGCACGGCAGGTACGGCGCAGCTGTTGGAGTTGCTGGTCAAGGCAGTACAGCTGAGGATCCTGGCAAACAGCAGACAACGTCGCAAGTGCCAAAAACGGTGACAGACCTTGTGCTGGCCAACAATGGCCGGGCGGCACGGCCCCGGAGGAGCTGGTACTCCGCCTTGGTAAAACAGTGGCCCTCTGCCCCGTAAAGACAAGCTGCCCACACACCACGCTGGATCATGGAAGCTTTCAGCGAGGGGCTTCTGGGCTGGTGTCGGAGGCGGTCCAATCTTTCAAGGCCATCTTGAAGACGTGCACTCCTGGACCCTGCATGGGCAAGGCCATCGTACTTGAAAGCAACACCCAGGTCACGAACTTCCGAAACACATTTGACCTTGGCACCTGGAGGAAACAGCTGCTCACCAACTTTACCCCACCACTTGCGACCGGAGTTGTTGGTCGCCCAAGTATAGGACTTTGACCAGTCGATTGGCAGTGCTTGGCTTTGCAGGAAACAGACCGCCCGGGGGATAGTTCGGAGCAAAACCTTGCGGTCTGTGCCAGACCAGCTCCAGTTATCCACATAGCCTCACATAGGTGTCAAACTGCACGGCCTCATCGCGACAAGCAGCATCAGCCAGGCAGCAGACCGCAGCGAGGGCCGCAACGCTGAGAGGATCACCTTCTAGGGCCCCATTGCAACAGTGCAATCCCTGGGACAAGTCGCCCAGGAAAGACGTATGGCGGCGGAGCTGGGACAGACATCGGAATCAGAAGTCGACCAACTCAGTCGGGGCACCCATGCGTTGAAGAATCAGCTGCAGTGGTGGCCAGCCCAGCTGGTTGAAACACTTCACAATGTCCAGCGAAAAGCCCAGGCGGGCCGTGGCACCGACAAGAGATTTCTCAATCAGATGCTGCTGCCGGTAGGAGACATCACGGCTAGAGCGACCCGGCATGGACCCTGAAACCGAGGGCGGAAAAGTCTGCGCCCAGGCCCGCAAGAGTTGTTTGGTGGCGACGGACGCCCAAATGCGGTACAGAGTACTGAACACGGTAATCGGGCTGGGTGAATACCCACAGGGCAGGCAACCTTAGCAAGAACGCTCACCTTGGTGCGGAGGATGTGCTCAGGCAAGACGTACTTCTGGGCTCGCTCAAACAAAAGGCTCAGCAGGTCGACTGCTTCCGGGGGCAGCAGCTTGAGGTCGGACGGGGCCCAGCCACAAATTCCTGTAGCCTTGTGCCGGGACATTCTGTTGATGGCCGCCTGGCAGTGCAGGGGCGTGCGTGCGCACCTCAACTGGGGGAAAGTCCACACCAGAAGCCGCCACAATTGACTGGAGCTGGGGCCAACTGTCGAGGGAGTACTGGGCCTGGCCACCGTCCCTTTGCCAGAGCGGGCCCCAGAAATCAGCGAAGGCGCTGTGCAGCTCCTCGGACGTACACGCAACATATTGCTGCTGAAGGTGACCGGCCGCGGGCAGCGAGTCCCCGTCAACACAAACTGAGGACGGGCCCACCTCCACAATGTGACAGTCCTGGTCGCTAAGTTTAGCCGGGCAGCCCGCACGGAACAATGCATCTGGGCGGACTTGATACCAGACCCCCACCGGAGGTGCAGCAGGGGAGGTCGGGCAGGTTGCTGCGGCAGACCGAACCAGGCAGGGCACCTCCGTAAACGGCGGGTTTGCAGCTGCGCGAATGGCCTTGAAGCCTTGCTTGGAATGGCCAACCTCCACATCCACACTCACCTGTGCCAAGAAGGTGTCTTTCCGACGCTTAGCTTCCTGTCTGGCAAGACAATCACAGTCATATCTCACATATGAGAGCAAGTCATCCAGCCACTCAGTCGGGGGGAAGTGGCACGGGAAATGGTGGAAGCACGCAACCTGGAGCACCCACTTCGGAAAATCAGGTGGGTACCCTTTGGCCTGCACGATCGCACGCCATTCCTGGAGAAGTTGGTGTTCATGTCGTTGGTTAGACACCACAGCACCGGCCCGTAGCTTCGCGAGGCCTCTTTGGAACGTCAGCAGGCGACGCACCTGGCGGACCCGCAGTCGGCAAAGAACAGACGTAACTTCCACATCCGGGTTATAGCCGCCCTGCCAGTCGGGCCGCAGCAGGCATGCTGTTTCGCGCTTCAGAAGAGGCCTGGGCAAACAGCGGCCACGGTGCGACTTGGGAAGAGCCCGGTGAGGAGATTTGATCGGGTCGGCTCGCCATTGTGCTTGGAGTGCAGCATCGGCTGAGGCTTCGGCCGCCTGGGCAAAAGCTTGCAGAGCACCATCAATCTCATCAACCGAGGAACAAGCCTGGACCTGGCGGCGAAGAGCGCTTGCATGCTGCTGGAAGGCAGTGGCAAATTCCTTCTTTTGTACTCCCAGCTCGGCCAAAGGTCGGGGGAGACGCCAAACTTGTGTACAGGGCCGTTGGCCGCACAGGTGCAAGCGGAAGCAGAGGGGGTCATGGGAGTCGAACAACTGAGCCTCATTGAGGACCCATGCAGAATGCCAGAGGCGTACCACTGCAGGGTGGAGCAGTGCAGTGTCGTGGCGTGTACTGCCCTTACAGGTAGGAGGCAACGGCTGACCGTGGCGTCCCAGGTGCAAGTCGAAAACATCCTGGTACCCTTGTTGTTGAAAGGCTTGTCCGGCCGGCACTTCAAAAGGGCGGACATTGAAATCGCCACGGCATTCTGGGATGCCCTGTCGAAGGCGGTATGTAGCAGCTGGTTTGTGCGCTCTTTAGCGTCCTGGTCAGACAAAGGGAACCCGTAAATCGTGAGGACCCGAACCTCCAATGCACCCAATCGGATGAAGGCCTCAGCAAGGCGACACGTGGAGCGGACCTCCTCAGGAAGAGGAGGCTGCGATGCACGAGAAGGGAGCCGGGCAGCAAGGCCCACACCGGCAGCAAGGCCCCGCAGGGTCGGTTGTTCACACTCGACTCTAGTATGACTGGGCACCGGAGCGCCCCAGTGGACTTTGAATCCATGTTTACGAAACCCGTTTCCGGTAAGTCCTTGGACCCTTTCAACAGCAGAGGTCTCCGACATTGCAAGGAAATCGGCCTCGGTGGCGAGAAAGGCAGGCACCTTGTGCAACACACTTGTGGGGTTGACAACAGCGAAAACGCAGGTATCACGGGGAGGCTCTGCACCAGCCTTTGGCTGCTGAGGGCAAAAGTAATCATGCAAAGTGCGGTTGCGGACTGGGCCAGGGTTAAGTGCCTCACCCACTCTGATACCACTAAAAAGGCCCGGGCGCCACTCGGTGGAAAGGTCACCCAGCAACAAGCCACAAGGGGCAAAGGCGGAAACATCAATGCCGGAAACCTGGTCAAATCGCAGGTGCCGCTGGAAAGGAGGAAAGGAACGGTGCAGTTGGGACGAGGCAGGTCCTTGAGAGCGGACAGCAAAACAAAACATCAGTGAGCAGGCGGCTGCACTGGCGGCGAGAAAACAACAAGGTGCAAGGCATTTGCTTAACACCGGCGAACCCCCGGGCGAACAGGTCTGAGTCACTTGGTCGCCCTTGCAGAAAAGTAACACGGTTGTTGTGGCGACCCAAACCTTGAACCCTGAACCCTAAATTCCCTAAGCCCCAAACCCCAAACCCTAAACCCTGAACCCTAAACCCTGACCCCTAAATTCCCTAAGCCCTAAACCCTAAAATCCCTAAAATCCCTAAATTCCCTCAATAACCTGCAAGGATGATCCAGCAGCCTTGGAAGTCGAAGTGGCAGATCGGCGCCACTTGGCCTGGGAAGCTTCCTGAAGGCTGAGTTACACTCGGTCCAAGGTTTGAGGGTTTAGGGTTTAGGGTTCAAGGTTTGAGGGTGTAGGGTTTTAGGTTTGGGTTTAGGGTTTCAGGTTTAGGGCTTTAGGTTTAGGGTTCAGGGTTTGGGGATTTAGGGTTTATGGTTTTAGGTTTAGAGTTTAGGGTTTAGGGTTTTAGGTTTAGGGTACAGGGTTTAGGGTTCAGCGTTCAGGGTTTAGGGTGCAGGGTTTAGGGTTCAGGGTTTAAACCCTAGGGTTCAGGGAAGTGCAGCTTTCCGAGAGTTCTAGTATTCTCCTTGTGGGCATGGGGCTGCCTGGTGAGTTTCCACTGTAGGATCTGTGTTCAATTCTAGAGCTCGCGCGTCCCACCGCAGAATGGTGGGAGTGGAATCAGAAGGACGAGGGGCAAGCAAGTACGCAGGGATTCTGATAAAGATAGCAAGACTAGTGACGAGCGAAGGATTCTGGCAAAGATAGCGAGACTAGTGACGAGTGATTTCTTACACTCTACAAACCCTAAACCCTACTCAAGAGGTGGTTTGTGCTTTCGGGAGCCCTTGGAAGAGCTTGGGGCTGTGTGCGTGTTTATAGTCTATGTGCAGAGAAGGGCTTTGGGCGAGTTGGGCTCTATTGGTTCGAAGCTCAGGGTTTCGCATACATATAGGGCCCGGAATAACGTAGATGATCGGTCAACCCTAGACCCTAAACCCGCCATATATTCTTGTTAAACTTATACTAAATAATACCTATATCACATCCCCGAAAACTGAGCTGGAAGCGAAGCTCCTCTGAGGAATGGATGAGTTTGGAGTAGACACTGGACATGGTTGCAGGGCACCCGGTGAATGGGTCTGGGATTTGAGCTTCTAGGTGGAGGGTCTGGTGCGCTGGCTTGGGGCTCATGCTTTAGAAGGTTTGGGTTTAATATAGTCGCCTGAATAATTGCCGAATCTAATTTTTTTTGTTTTTTTTTGGGGGGGGGTTCGCTATTATAGTTACAGTATTATGTACCCCAAAACCCTGCTCTAATGACTAAGGCCCCTATATTTAGGCTTCCGGGTATTGGGAAAAGGCCCGGACGTGGGAGCCGGAGAGAGGAGCCCCGGCCCTCGCCTACACCGGTTCTGTGAGTATGTCGTCCTGATGCCGATTCTTATGAAGAGCCCCATGGGTTTAGGGTTTAGGGTCAACTAAGCCCCCGGCTCTTTGACTGATTTCAATGCCTCCTTCAATGCATCCACGCATCTTTTTCAGGATCTTGCTTCTGCACCAAGCAAGGATGCTGGATCCCAAGGGCGGATCCTAGACCAGATCCGTTTCCCCGAAAACTCCAATGCTACAAGGAGAGGTTGGACTAACGAGTTTTCGAGATGTCCCCTTACAGGGACCGTATGATTGTAACATATACCACGGTGGTCAAAAGACCTTTCCTCAATACGAACGCCCCTAGACCCTAAACCCTACAAGCCCCAAGTCTAAATCTAAGATCGACGCGCAAGCCGTGGTCATGGGCCGGGCCACGTGATACTAACCCGAAGCCGCAAACCCTACTCTAAACTCTAAACCCTCAGAGCAAAACCCCGGTGGGTGGAAGCGATTGGGGTCTGAGACATCAATGATTAGATTTCTTGGGTTGGGGTTTAAAGTTTGGGTTTAGGATTGGATTTCTTGGGTTTAGGCGTTTAGGGTTTAGGGCCTTTGGTTGTCTTGTACCCAGGTAGCGAAACGTACTCTATGGGGGCCTCAATAATTACCAAAAACATTTCCTGGGGTTCCTGACTATAAGCATACTATAAAGGAGCCCAAAACCCTAGTCTGATCATTAAGGCCCTAAACCCTAAACCCTATAAACCCTAAACCCCCTAAACCCTAAACCCTAAACCCCCTAAACCCTACACCCTAAACCCTAAACCCTAAACCCCAAACCCTGCATTACAATCCCCAGCAAGTGCCAAGGCGCTGACAAGACCGAAGGCTCAGACGTGAAGGGCACAGGACAAGAGACGTCGAGCACACGGAGCAGTGTTTCAAGAGCCTCGGCGAGACATCTATTTAGGGTTTATAGGGGTTTATAGGGGTTTATAAGGGTTTATAGGGGTTTATAGGGGTTTATAAGGGTTTATAGGGGTTTATGGGGGGGATATCCCCCGAAGATTTATTACAGTTCGAAACCCTGAGTTCTAAAGTCCGAAGTCCCAAAACCGACCGGCTTCTCCCTACATGGGGATTCCTTGAAGTATCGAGATCCTTGTGAGCAGGAGTCGGGGGCCTGCTAGCTCCTATATTGGGTCGGGCCTGTATTTCCTAAGCCCCGATTCCTACGTCGTCTCCAGCCGAGAGTTGTTGCCGGATGTCCTACTCCCACGTAAATATAAATAAACATGAATTGTTGCTGGATGTCCTACTTCCAGGTAAATAAATATATCTAACTAGATAGATAGATAGATAGATAGATAATAAACAGGTGTGTACAGATAGATGGACAGATAGACAGATGGATAGATAGATGGATACATAGATAGATAGCTGGGTAGCTAGATAGCTAGATAGCTAGATAGATAGATATATAGGTAGATAGATAGATAGACAGATAGATAGGTAGATAGATAAGAGATAGCAGACCAGGGGCCTAGCTCTTGAGCATTTAGTAGGGGTGAGGGATATGCTTCTGAACCAACGAGCAGCTTCAATCCGACATTACCGAAGATCGACTTCTGTAGTCTGTCAGAGCACAGATATTCAGGCTTCTACCGCTACTACAGATGTCAGTATCAGTGCTGGTACGGTTACGAGCCCTTTGGCAATGGTATGCATGCAAAAGCCTCGGGTACAGCATCCGTATGCCCCCTGGCGAAGCATTCTGTGAGCTGGGGCTTGGTTTTCTCCAAGCTGCAAAAAATAAAGCAAAAACCAAGACCAGGAGCAGCCGGGGGAAACCAAAGGATCTTGTTAAGGGGTCATCATCCATCATCAGTTTGACGGCCATGTGAGGCGAGCAGTGCAGATTCCAGAGTCTATGAGGGGGCCAGCAGTGCCCCCGGAGGATTCCGATGTGGCAGACTGCCACGTTTCCACCCAGAGGCCGATTTACCCTAGTGCTCCGGACGAGAGAGGTGTGGGTTAGAGCAGTAGTCCTAAGTGTAGGTGACAGGTGGTGCCAGCCGAAGTCGTAGTAGTCGCAGTCGGGGGTAGTGGTAGCGCCATAACCATGGCCGGGAGGAGGAGCGGCAGCTGGGAAGCAGCTGCATCAGGGCATTGATCTCCTGGGAGAGACCAGCACCCACACTCAGACAAAGGCTAGGACGGCTAGAATCTGGTTTTCCTTTTTCGAGCGAGCCTCAGTGCATATAACGTCCTACACTGAACATGTTGGTGCCCAATGGAAAAGTTGAAATGAATGATGAGGCACTCGCGGTACTTGACGAAATGTCGCAGAACTTTTGAAATCACAGGTCTCTTTCGTTAACAATGCAGATTATGCTAAGCATTGATGTTGGTCAAGGCTCCGAAGCATCTCGTGTGAAATTTCTTCACCAGTCGGTTCTCAGTGTGGAAGGTGCTGTCGCTTTTTAAGACTCTTCACCTTCATAGTTGTAGTGACAGCCGTGCACTTTTTTTGGCGCTGATTGTGTGCCATGCCAGGCTGTCTTCCACCAGCCGGTTTCCGGCCTGTCCGGAAACCCCTTGCTGGCATCATATGGGCATGTCCTTATCCTTACATACACAAACATATATATATATGTATATATTATGTATATATAATATAATATATATTATATATTATATATTATATATTATATATTATATATTATATATTATATATATATTATATTGTATACATATATATATATATATATATTATATATATATATTATATACT